AATGTCAGAGCTTGTGTAAGTAATTTAATTTCTCTGCGTGGATGTAATATCTTTAAGTTTTTCAGCGCTGTTATGGAATATGAGATGGGATGGCACTAAAATTATATTTTGAATATTTGTTTAATAGCATCTCTTTTGATTTTGAGGTGAAATAAAACGTGGACAATTTATTGATAGGTGCCATGGGTTAGTTTTGGTTGAAACTATATGTAAGTTTTATTTATTTATTTGGTAGTCGGGTACGAAATTCCGAAACAGACTAATTGCTTTACGGTAGCAACAAATGCAGGTGTATAGCTAGTTACAGTGATATTTACGACAGTGAATTCCACGTACTTCACTGTAGACGGCTCTAAAGTCACAAAAACACACACACACACACACACACACACTCACACAAAATACAAACCAATCAACAGCTATGAGTCTGAGCAGCTTCATTATTTGCAAATGATTTGCAGCTCTGACGGAAGCTTTGTGCTCCGCAAGGAAGGGCTGGGGCAAATATTGGAAAGCTTCACTGTAATAAATAAGAAAATAAAACAGAATGCATTAAAAATGTCAGAGCTTGTGTAAGTAATTTAATTTCTCTGCGTGGATGTAATATCTTTACGTTTTTCAGCGCTGTTATGGAATATGAGATGGGATGGCACTAAAATGAAATTGAGGTAAATTTGGAAATATCATATTTAATCCATCTGCGGCAGCGAGGCAGTGTCAGATACGAAGGTAGCTGTGATTGAGTGTAGGATCCCGTCCTGGAGACATTCGTGTCAAACCCTGGGTTGATGTGCTGAGGAAACCCTGCCATTATTCCATCACCAGTGGTGGAGTCGTTAACATTCCTCATCTCAAACGTACAATTAAGACAATCGTTAGCCACGCCCACATCCGGCCCTGCCATTATGACACGAGCCGGATTCCATTGTTCCAGCATCAATGGAGGAGCCGTTTATGTTTCCACCTCTACAATTCTCCTCATTTACTCGGGACCTGAACCTGTTCATCCAAGCATCCTTCAATTCTCCTGTTCTTCAGCTCTCTCTGAACATCTTTTCGATGAGTCACAACCACAAGAAAGGGTCGGGCTCTCGCTCTCCCTCCCTGTCTTTTGTCTTTCTTCCTCCCATCTCATTTAGAAGTAGCTACGCTTCACTCCCCTCACTGAGTCCCACAGGCAATTTAGGGAAAGTAGGCCAAAATGAAATATGGCCTCAATAAAAATCCCACAACACTTCAAATGCACATTGGCAATAAAACCTGCACAAGTGTATACATGGCAGGACACTAAACAGCATGTTAGGTGGTTAAGTGTGTTTTTAAGCGATAGCCAGACGAGTTTTTTTCTCTCCCACAGGTCCTGGGTCAGCACTACGTAGCTTCTGCAGATATAAACACTGATGCATTATGGGAAAAGCTGACCTGAGATCAGCACGGTTCATTGTTCCTCCATATTGGCAGCTCAGGCAGAGCCTATATCTCAGAGCGCTATAGCTCACTAAATCACAGCGATCTGAGAGGGTATCGAAAGTCAACAATTTTACCTTCGTTCTTGCCATTGAACCACAGGGAAGACGGCACAACACATTCAGACTAGTAGACAGAAACCACAATACAGCAGGGCTTCCGTGGCTTTTTGTTTTCATGTCAGCTTTCAAGAAAGAGCTGGAAAAGCTTAATCTGGTAGCTGTGTTTCGGAACATGTTTGCTGGTTTCTATTCTACAACTCAGGCTTATTGGAAATACATGCCTGTGGCAACTGCAAAATGGTATTATATTGCTTCTTGCATGTTTCAGGACACTTTCAGTGTGAAATGTCCAGTGAGTGGCGCTAAAAGTGTGTTCAGTTTTACCCGAAACAGATAAACGTGACTCTGGCGACATTTCATTACACTGGTTGATGTATGTATTAAGACAGATCAGAAGTGTAATGTCCGGTGGGTGGCATTAAAAGGTTAATGCTCTATCACGTCTGAACCAATAATGTTACCAAAAGCAAACATGAGATAAAAACAAATTTGCCGAAGCAAACATGCCATTTTAGCTTCCTTCTATAAGTCTTTGAGCTCTTTTATCATGATTCGTTACTCGAGTTTGACTGGATTTGTACCTGAGCGCTCCACATCGCAATTGCAATGCTGTACCAGGTCCGCTACCAAGCAAGTTTACAACATAAGAGAAGCCATACATATGGAGCTAGTTATGTGATGCAAACATCACAATTTATTAGTTTACAAATCATGTGCTATGGAAAAAGTGTTTTGAGGTCATAACATAATATTGTGCAAGGAAACATGGAAAAAAAATCTTTATTACTCGCTAATCTGATGATAATAATAATTTGTGTAAAAATCATTGTTGGCATTTTACCACTTCTAGTGTTCACTTCAACTGGAAACTGCAGTCAACTGTACGTACAGGTAAGTATTACAACAATGCAATTTATTTTCAATGAGCATAGGTTGATATTATAAGTTGGTTATTAGCTGGTCAACCAGTCACTGTGTTTCAAAACCTAGGGTGACCATGCATCCTATCCACTATTCACTGTCTTTTTCACTTCCAAAAATGGTATACTACCGTAAAATTAATGTCCAATGCAGTTTTTCACCGTATATAGTAGGGGAATTTACCGTTAACCATTTAACAGGTTTTTACTGTAGCATTTTTACAGTCTTTTACCGTTAAAGTCACGGTCATTTTTTTACAGTGTAGCGATGATAAACTGCCAACCTTTATTCCTGTTTACACAAATTATGATTATGGGTCAGATTAGTGATTATTAAAGAGTTTTTTTCACATGTTTCCTTGTACAATATGTTATGACCTCAAAACACTTTTACTATATGCATGATTTGTAAACTAATACATTTTGACTTTTGTATCACATAATCCGCTCCATATCTATGGCATTTCTGATGTACTGTAGTAAACTTGCTCAGTAGTGCACCTGGTACAGCACTGTTACCATACAGAACCCATCTTAGTCTAACTGATTTGACCAACAGTTAGCTGGATTTGTGATGGTCCGAGATAAAAATAAAGACCAGCTAGGATCCAACAAATGACAAGCTAAAGTCCAGCTTAAACCAGCTACTATGTTCCAAAACAGCTATCAGCTAAATTTGGATTTTCAAGCATGGTAGTAAACATTATTTTTATGTTATTGAAAAAAAAGTGAAGATTTAGGCCTTTCCGGATTCAAAGAGTCAGGAGCTGCAGTCATATGCTAGATATAAAATAGCAGTCCGGGGCTGTTGCCAATATGAACTGAGTGAACTTTCCTTAAAGCGACCAGAACATAGTAAGTGCTGCATCAGAGATAGAGGATGAGAAAGTGTGTGATGTTTCATTGATTCACCCGTTACATACAAATCAGAAAACTCTGCTGAAACAACGCAGTGCAGTCAAAGCTCTCTTGTTTCCAAAGCACATTGCATAAGGTTGTTCAATCAATACTGCTCAGACCCAGAGCAGCGATACCGTCCAGTGACTGTGTGTGTGCATGCCTGCGTAACAGAAAAAACACAGTTAGATCTTACAATTTAATTTCTATTGACTTTTAAATCGGATTTCACAGACTTTCTGCACATTTTAGCCAATTTTTCCAGCTGTCTTTCTGAGAATAAAAGTTCAAAAAGGTCATAAGTCAGGCTTGACATTGGCAAATATACAACGCTTATTCTTCTTAAAAAATATGTTTCAACAGTATTTCCAGCTAAAAATAAGTTCTAAGCCAGACCATAGTGTAAGAACAGCTTAAGTGGATGTCTTTATGAGCTGAAAAGGTATTAGTCAAGGCAGAACAAAGCCACACAGCAATGCTTAAATTCATTTTCATAACTCAAAACTTTCTGAGGAGTGTGTTAAAGGAAAATAGGGCTGTGACCCACTTTCAGGATTAATACAAGCGTGTTCTCTTCACCATTGTGGTGTGCTATTCACATGAGAATCTCATTGTGCGTGTGCTGAAGGTGGAGCACGTCACATGAGTTGTTCTTGAAATCGCATGTTCAGCAATTCTTATAAAAAAAAATAAAATAGAAAGCATGAAGAAAATTGTATTCCCCCCCAAGAAAATACATGCAAAGCTTTCTGTAGATTTCCTCTATGCATACTGTAGGTGCAGGCAACACTGTTGAGAGAACTTAGAGTATAGTATATTTAACACCATTTATTCCCCCTGAATTTTCTGTAAAGTTGCAGAGCATTGTTATGTTCAGCGTGGACCGAAGAGCCAAGTTTGACTGGTTAGCATGATGCAATTAATCCCTGCTGGCAGATCTCCAAAATTTGCCATGTAAAATTAGCTGTATATAAACATGTCTGATTATATATATACAGAGACACACACAGACTGCCATTCAAAAGTTTGGAATCAGTAAGATTGTTAATAGCTGCACTGATTTGATCATAAATACAATATTGTGAAATATTATTGCAATTTAAAATAACAGTTTTTATTTATGTCATTTTTATTCATTTTTATTTCAGCTTTAGTTTTAAAGTTAATTTAGTACACCAAGTTTTTTTATATTTTATTTCAAGTAACTTTATTTTATTAATTAATTAGTTATTTATTTATTTATTTTGCTAGTTAGTTAGTTAGTTAGTTAGTTAGTTTACGATAATAACCCTGTTGCAGATAAAGACCTCCTTGGTGTGGACAAGCTATTCATACACTCTTAAAATTAATGTGTTAGCTCAAAAAAAAAAAATCATGATTTTTTTTTTAGCTATGACATTTAATGAAATTATTTTTAAACAACAAATTCCACTGAATTAGAACAACTTAATAATTTGTAACATAAACATATTTTTAAGTTAATTACTCAAAAAATTAAGTTGCTTCAACTAATGGATTTGTCGGCCTGGAACCAATTTATATTATCTTTTTTTTCAGTTCACTAATCACTAAATGTAACTTATTTAATGAACAAAAGATGTTACTTGTCACTGGCATTAACACAGTCATTGCTAATAGAGTCAGTGTAGTGTTTACCTTCATGTGGTCTACTCTTCAACACAATGATACTCAGAAAAACTTCAACATAACAGAAACTCTTTTAAATGTCAAACATAACAGTATTAAACACTAACAGGTCTTTCCCGTCACTAAAAAAACACATGAAATAACACTTAATTTCAACGTTTACTTTCCTTATCCAGTCCTACGCAAAGCATGCTGGGAACTAGAAATCCACTACCCAATTTCCAAAGTTAATAAGACAATTTTATTGAGTTACTACAACTTACTTTTAAAGAAATTCAGTAAACGCAGAAATTTGAGTTTCAATTGCACACTATATTAAGTTAATGTAATGATCAACATTATATTGTCATCTGAACTCAACAAAATAATGTTTGCAACTTAAAAGGTTTAATTACATTATTAAATTAGATTTTTTTAACTTGCAACCATGCATTTAATTAAGTCAGGTCCCCTGAATCATTTTTGAAACCATTGGTGAAAATCATTATGAGTCCTGTTTTTGTGTATTTTTATGCATTTGTGTTCATTAACATCCTGCTCAATATAAGGAAAAAAAACTCAAAGTTAAATAGAGAAATGTATTATTACAAGTTATTACAGTTCCTAACAATTACATCGTATTCCATGTACCTTTAACATGTCTACTTATCTAGACGACTATTTTATAATCTTATGTAATTTTCCGTCCTCATTTGTAGCACATTAGACTAATTGCTGTCCTGAGCATTTGCCCTTTGGCTTGCAGCTTGTCAAAGATTGCAGGCTGCAACGTGTGACCGCACTCCTCCACAGTTCCCTGTTAACCACTTTAATGACAGCGTTCAGGATGATTTAGCATGTTACAGAGGATTTTTCACCATCACAGAAGCTCATAACCTTAAAAGAGAGTACAAAACACATTTCATCTCTGGTTACTGATCTGTTACTGCTGAATTTTTAGAAAAAGCTTAAAAACAGCAGATGTCTCGGGCCGTCTTCGACAACAATCGTATGCTTCTCCCATCTAAGTTGATATTTTTTAAAATATATTTCAATGCTTTACACTCTCATTTCTGCAGGCCCAGCCCATGTGAAGGTTGTTCATTCCCTTAACTCAATTAAAGCCTGGTGTTCAATGTGAGTTTCTGGATGATTGCTGCTTTTCATATTGTGCTGTGCGGAAAATCCTTTACCTGATTTGGTGTTGCTGGTCAAAAATTACCGGCTTTTTAAAAATTGTTTGTAAATCTCTCATTATGCTATATTATCACCAAATCTTTTTGACAGCTTGTTTTCTTACAGTTAGCACAGGTGTTGTATTTCTTTTGGAAGTAGTCGATTGTAGGCCTCACTGATCTGAGCTTATGCACCTCATTTTTTGGGTGAAAAAAAAAAATATTTTTTGATCATTTGAAAATATTCACTCAAAAACTGAGGTGCATAAGCTCAGATCAATGAAGCCTATGACCTGTCAGTTCCAAAAATAAATACAATACCCGTACCAATTGAGAGAAAACACTTTGATAAAAAAAGATTGAATCTAATATGTGGTAATAATATAGCATAATTAGAGATTCTCAAACTATTTTTTAAGTCAGTAATTTTTTGATCCGTAAAACCACAAGAAAAAAATAGCATAAAAAAAAAAGATCCATCCATTTATTTAGTTATTTATTTATTTAGGGTGGGGATGGGGCTGTGTGAGCAAATTCAGTAAGTTTTAGTCCAATGTGATAACATTAACTAACATTTTTCACAGAACATTTTTTTTCTCTATGGTTCAAAATGACTGCAACACAACATGAGGGTTAAGTCATCAGTCCACATCCTTATTTGTACACAAAATCACAAATTATTTTCTACAAGCCCAAGCAAAAATACACTTTTTCCAAAGACTGTCAAAAACATCAAATTCTTTTTTTGCTTTTAAGTTAGTTTTCTCTATTAGTTAATGGAGAAAAAATGTCTTCAGGAAGCTGATGGTGTAATTACGACATCTACTAGCAGGGGCTAACCAGGTCATGCTAAACAGCCAAAACTGGACTGCTTTGAACATTCGCACTATGACCTTTTGAGACCATCACAATGATCTTATACTGTGCATCAGGCTGAAACCATAAATCTAGTTATTCCAAGTTCTCTTGTCCTCGGAGGTGTCGATTTTGCTGCTCTTCTCTTCTCTTCATGCCCTGTTGGCCTTCACAAGTCCTAAGTAGAGAAGAAATGATTCTCACAATGCTGAATTGACGTTTTATTAGTATTTCAGGGGGCCAGAAGCCCCTGTGAGACTCAACAGTACTGCGCTCTGGGTCTCAACCCAGTTTTTTGAGGATGTGGCCGATTGCAGATTGACACTTTCTATAGAGGTCCTGTTCTGTACCTGCACATGCACAATGCAGGCTGTCGGCTTTTCTTTTATCTCTCACACGTGCTCTGATAGCTGAGAACCGAAAAGTTTAAAGAACATAATTTGTAGCTCTTATAAACAAGATGAAACATATAACATGAGATGTCTTGGAACAAAAAGTCTCTAAAATTAGACAGACTGAAATACTCCCTCGAGTCCCTGCCCCGGTTCGGCACGATTAGAAGATTAGGGTGCGCATAAATGGAGGCATGAATCAAACGACATTCAGTTCTCTTTTGCACAGCTTGATCCCAGTATGACCGAGAACAGCACATTAACAGAAACCCTCATCAGCACATTATAAACATGCGCGCTCACACACACACACACACACACACACAAATGTGGGCACCGAATGTAAAATAACGCACGTTACAAAAACAACCCAATTTTGTCACATGCTTAATTTTGACAGATTTTGCAACAAAATCTAGCCAATTATGCTGAATGTAGCAACAGAATCTCTCCAGTTTGCACAAAAATAAAAAAATATATATATTTTATCTGAAATCTTTTATTAAAAATGTTTTAATGATGGATTTGCTTCTTTCAAACACGCAGCTTTTGGCTTCACAAGATGTTAACTGATGGACTGGAGTGGAATGGATTACTTGTGGATTATTGTGATGTTTTTATCAGCTGTTTGGATGCTAATTCTGACGGCACCCATTCACTGCAGAGGATCCAATGGTGAGCAAGTGATGTACATTTATCAAAATCTGAAGAAACAAACTGATCCACTTCTTGGGTGGCCTGAGGGTGAGTACATTTTTAGCACATTTTCATTTTTTGGTTGAACTATTCCTTTAAACACATAACTAGTCCTGCACCTGCTATGAACATGCATGCTAATAATTGAGATATTAATTTTTCAGCCATCATATGTACAGTTTTCACCTGGACATTTAAATGGTTTTAAAAATATCAAGAGACTGACACTGAAGAAAGAATCTGGAGGGATCTGTCATATCTAGTGACCAGAATAATTACAAACTGCTGGGTAAGCAACCAACCACACGATACATTCAGTCAGCTGCATAGCATCACTTTGGCTTATCTTTGCAAAGTATGAAAGTATGCACTGCAGTAAGCCAAATCTGTTTTATTATTCCAGCAAAAAAAAAAAAAAAAACTTCAATGATCAGTTGACTGTGCATGTCAAAAACAACTGCTGTTCTTATAAAGATGCATGATGTATTGATGAAAATGATTTCTATTTTTCAGCTGCAGACAACTGCCAACAGCAATAGTTCTTTTAATTGTCATCAGTAAGACTTTGAACAAAAAAAGCAATTGTCAGATAAAGAGATCACGAATAAACTTGTCATTCAAACCTATTCTATTTATCACGACAGTTCCGCAGATGAGAAAAACAAACAACCTAAAACAACAGAAACTACAGGACATTTTTACACGGGTTCGTCTTATTAGATTTGTTAAAGACATTAAGAATGATGAGCTGCACTTCCATTTTTATTTCTGCTTTGGGGAAAATCATAACAGAACTTAAGTCAATCAGTGTCATTAAGAATATTAAAAAATACATCAGCATGAAATTGGTGCATATAGTGCACGTTCCACTCATTTCACAAATCATATAAGAACGAACTTCTAAATTCCCGCTCTGGGACTGAACATATCGAATAAATGGGAAATGAACGTAATGTGGTGGGAAGAAGCTGCTATAAAAGAAGAGTAGCAAAATTACTTCCAGTTTGTTCTTTGTAGTGTGTGTCTCTCAGTCATTTACGCATCAAAATGAACTGCCAGGTAGAAATAAACCCACAACATCACATTATAGTGTTTCATATTTGCCTCTGGTATGAATGTTTTGGGAAATAAGACCGATATCTGATCTGTGTTGTAGCTAGCATACAGAAAACAAAACTCCTTTTGGTTAAATGGAGAATGGAGGAGGATAATCTGGGTAAAATGACCCCTGAATTTGAATAACAAAAAACTTTTGCCATATAATCAGAAAAGAAATAGAAAAAAAGATGACACGTCAATAGTAAAGAAAGAAACATTCTAAAATATGGCATGACTAGTGTGCAACACTCATTTCATGAAACGGACACAAGCAGGTGATTCAGAGGGAGACAGATCCACATGAGAGGTCAAACTGGTGGAAATGGATGGATTCATTTTAGAATTAAAAACTCACCCACTCAGACATGATCAGATTAACTCACGACCTGACTGAACTGAGCTTGAAATGATGATCTGTCAATGAGACACTTTTTAGCGACCTCTCAGGTCAGTTAAATGAATGTTACACTTCAGCACCTGCAACCTACATCACGATCACACCTGCAGTGTTTACAGTGTTTTTTTTGACCAATGGTCCTCAAAAAGACTGCTTCTATTTAATATATATAAATCTCGCAATATATATATATATATATATATATATATATATATATTAGGGGGCTTTTCCTCATTTGAGAAGCTCACCACATGTCACCACTGTCACATAATAATATCACATTAAAAATGTCAATACAAATTCATCCAGACCAAAAGGCATACATATCACACGTAGTCAAATCATGTTAATGATTTAGATGAAGATTAACCCTGAAGTACAAAACAAGGCATTTCCCCCCAAACATGGCAGGAAAAGCTGAGCCATTTACTTTGGGCTACAATGAGCAACAGCACAGTTACCCACTAGCCAGTGACTCAGATTTGTGTCCCAAACATGAAGTTCAGATGAAATCATAGCTTTAAACAAAAACACAGCAGCTCAGGGCACATGCACACTGCGGAAAAGCACGTGGCGTTTATTCGCGACGCAGCGTTCAGTGATTTCGCGTTTGATTCACTGAAGTGAGTCACTCGATTCTCTGTTATTTCCGAGATATGCAGCACTGTAATTATTAGACTATTTTAAGACTGCTATCTGATTCTGCTGGCCTTATCAAACGTGTTCCCACACTCGGAAAGCCTGAAAATTAGGGAATTTTAAAAGTATGAAGGTAATAAAACGGTAAAAAAAGGTAGTAAAGTAATCTTTATTTCTAGTGAATATAAATTATTCTCGTTATACGCTGCTCTAAGATAGATATGGGGACCTTATATCCAGTGTTGGGGTTAATATTACAAGTAACGCGAGTTACGTAATCAGATTACTTTTTTCAAGTAACTAGTAAAGTAATGCATTACTTTTTCATTTACAAGAGAATATCTGAGTTACTTTTTCAAATAAGTAACGCAAGTTACTTTTTTTTTTCTAATTTATTGATTGACAGCTCTCCTGTCCCCATGTTGAGAGAAATCAGATGTTACTGTAGTTCTAAAATAAATATGAATATGCATTAATTAATCTCACTCACACACACACAAAAAAACACAGATTCAGTATTCCTCAAAATGAATAAAAATAATGCAACTCAGAATATGACACAAACCTGCAATAATTAAATGTTAAACAACACAAATATCCTTTATGTATTTAATCCCATTCTATTAACCAATGTCTTTGCTTCTGACCTTCGATGATCCAGTTCAACCGTACTAATAAGCAAAAATTACTCTAGACAAACATTATGTGTCTTTTTTTATTGCTGAAGTGTGTTGAAATGTCTTCTTCTGCATTCTACTGTACGGATGTAAATGTACTTTCCCTTCAGCCTGAGGCTTATTCATTTCACTTTTGCTGTGAAAGGCTTTTATATTTGCCTAAAATATAATTTTTTTAATTTTAAAAACAAACAAGCAAGCCCTGTCCAGATTTAAAAAGTAACACAAAAGTAACGTAACGCATTACTTTCCATAAAAACTAATTAAGTACCATAATTAGTTACTTTTTTATGGAGTAACGCAATATTGTAATACATTACTTTTAAAAGTAACTTGCCCCAACACTGCTTATATCGTGTGTGTGTGTGTGTGTGTGTGGGGGTTTTTGTTTGTTTGTCAATTTCTTTGTTTATGGGCGTAGCCAGATTTTTTTTTTTCAGGGGTGGCCTGGTAAGATCTGGTGATTTCTTTGTGGTGGCAAGAAATAAATAAATCTGCTTAAAATCTAGAGAAAATCGTTTAATACGCATCTAACTGTGATAGCGTAACCTGCGTGAAATACCTTAAAATCATGGGCGTAGCTTGTGGGGGGGCCAGGGGGGCCTGGCTCCCCCATAGCGATTTAAGAATTTTACTAAATATTTATTTATAAAGTTTTTTTCTATGAAGTAAAAATGTATGTAATGCAGTTAATAATACATGTAAAAGTGAATATGTAAAAGTTAATACATTTTAAATTGTTGTACGTAAATGAAAAAATCAAAACAAACTTAAGGTCTCCCTCAATCTCATTTGTGTAAGAACTGTCATGTGACGAATCTGCATTTTGGTGGATAATAGACTTAACGGTAATGCTTGCCTGTTGTGTGGAATAAAATGATGTTTTCCGCATTTTTAACAACATACACAAACTGCAGAGAAATCTGGAGACAATGAAAAACTCAGATGAAGATATTAATGCAGTGCTTAATGATTCCGGACTCGGACAATCAGATAAAGGTGATCCACAGGACGCAGCCGGTTTAGCCGCACCGCTACTTTTATGCCGACCATTTACATCCAAATGTTATTTAAGTTTCACAGAACACAACCTTTAAATAGATTTTAGAATATAAACTGTTTATCGTCTATTCAAGAAGACTAAATAAAAAGTGTGCGCCTCATTGTGCATTAACTTGAATCAAGCCCAACAAATGTCTGTTTTAAAAACTGGTGTAATTCACTCCTTGATTTGCTTAATAAAAGCCTCCTTTGAGATAGTTTTGACAGACATGTTTATTGTGCATTTTAAACGTGTATATTGCTAAGTTTAGTGTGGCAGAATAGAAGCGCAGCTGTAATTCGTGGGCAATGTATGTGGTTACCATGACAACCTCGCACTTGCCACTGCTCTATGTGAATGTGAATATGTAGATTTACTATAGCAAAACTAAAATGTGTTTAAAAGTACTTCTGACCAAATCCACCGGTTCGGTTCGCCCCAAACTCAAACGTCAAGCTATGCCTATGCTTAAAAGGAATATGTGGAATGGTACACAAATAAAACGAATTTCATGTAACTGCACCTCAACAAACACTGGTTAAAAACGGGATTGTCGTTCTTATGTAAGTTTATTAATTTTTGCGTGGAATAAATTCTTCCATGGACAAGAAGTTTCCGAAACAAACGCGATCCATTCATGCTGTTAAACCGGTAGAGCTCCTTGATAGCCTATAACGGATCATGGCAAATAATTGTAAGTAAACTGCAAAATAATAGTCTCAAAAGTTATTAAACATGTAGCAGCTTGTTCATCTATATTTTATGTAGGGTACAAATGCAGATGGTTGTGCATTTATTTTTGCTATCACAGGATAGCCTCTTTATTTGAATAATGTAACGTGAGGTTACGGTAGCATGCACCTGTATAAACATGCAATATTTTGTTGCGCAAAACGTTTTTTTTCCTTTCCATTGCGCTACTTTTCCATTGTTTTTCTATGTAAACACGGACGGGTTTAACCGTTTATTTGTTTATGCTCTTAAAGTTGCTCACTTGCAGTGTTGCCATATCCACTTGCGGGGCGGTTCAAGTCTAGAACTTCTAGACTCTTTTTAGGTGGGATTCAGACCCCCTAAAACAATCTGAACGATCGGGTCAGTGCTGCTTCCTCAAGAAAGTTTATCATTCTCATGTGTTATAAGGCTTGTCAATTTAAACATTAAGTGATTTTAAGCTATTCAAGTGCAAGATGGTGCGAAAGAGACCTTAATGCGGTACTCGCGTGCTGTGGTAGATCGTCTCTTTGTGCGCGAGCACACAAAGAAGACTTCTGTCAGACAGCACGCAAATACCAAATTGAGCTCTCTTTCTTGACAAGTATTGACGTTCAAACAGTCGGTTACTTCTTAAGTGACCATAAACAGTTAAGAAAATATCGGATGTGCAACGGACCCGTGCTGTTCTTATGTTAATACTGTTAATCAAACAACAAAAGAAAAACAGTATCACTCGCTGCACTTGAATAGCTTATTAATATAAAGCTTATTAATTAAGTAACTTCTGTAGCTTTAATGGATAGTTGTGTATATTTACTTCACAAGCACTATAAAGTTTATTTAGGTAATTTGTATCTTTGTGTTTAATGGTCTGTCTGAGGGCTCAGCCCCCTGTGATGAAATCTCAGAACTATCCCTGTCAATAGTTATATGGACTTTTGGGGTAATTTTCTCCGTAGTAGTGAGAGGTGAAGTGACAACTTGGTTCAGGTGGAGTGTGTATGTGGCCTTTGTGCCAGTGTCAGCTATTTGAATGGAGTAAAGTCCGCTGTGCAGTCAAAATGCAAAACAGGGCTGAAACTAGGGTTGTGCCGATAGTATTGTGTATCGACGATAGACAGGGATATCGCCTGTGGCTGATGCCTTTGACGATAGCAAGACAATCTGTTGTGTTTTTCAGCGAGCGCTAACTGAATTCTGACTCGCGAATTCTCATTATAAACAACAAAGTGCTGATGTACGTGCGATGTAAGTATAAGAGATTTATTCATCATATAGTGTAGATTCACTGAGTTTAACGGGAGTGTTTTTAAAGTCCATAAACTTGCGCTAGACTGAGCTTGTGATGATGTTCTTTGGTAATGTAATGTTCTTTGCTCGTTTTCTGTAGCTGCTTTTTGAATAACTGAGGAAATGTAAGCGTTATAATTAGTAACTTACGATGTTTCTATTAATTTATCATGTTAAATACAAATTCAGTCATATTAAAAACATTAGGCTGCTTTTAGCCTTATGCTGGAGTTGGTTCACTTTCTCGCAATGAAACTAAATAATTACATAAATTAGCACGATAATATCAGGCTGACGATATGAACATTGAGCATATTGCCCAACACTAGCTGAAACTCAACAGGGCTGGCCGGAGGGGTGGCCAAGCTTCAATCAGGAGTGGCACAGGCCACCCATGGCCACCAAGTAGCTATACTCCCCTGAAAGAGATCAATCTTGGAACTTTGTTTTACAGCATTTCTCATGTTTCTTTCTCCTAGGATGACTCATTTTGAAGTCACTTAGTCTAAGGCCCCGTCCACACGGAGACGCGTTTAGCTGTAGACGCATACATTTTGTATTGTATAGGCGTTTCGTCCACACGGATCCGGCGTTTTGGGAGTGTGAAACCGATATTTTTTGAAACCGGATCCCAGAGTGGATAAATCTGAAAACGCCGCCCTTGGGTTTTCGTGTGGACAACGAATCCGTATATTTTCTGAAACGATGACGTCATCAGCCCACGTCTCGCCCCTAGTCAGACACAGACACTACGTCACGTAACGGCAACAAAAACTTTTTTCTTTTTTTAACGATTGTCTTTTTATTAACTAACATTAACACAGGTTAATAAATGTATTGTTCCATGTTCGTTTGTATACCGCACGCAAGGTTTATGCACATAGTCCAAGTCATCTTCTCCGTTTTTTAGTGTATCTCTGTGGCAGAATTACAGCACCACATGCTGGTCTGGCATGCATACTACAGTGTTTTGTGTCAGTTTTGTGGTTTCATGTGATTTTTCTTGAGACGAGGGAAAAAAAAGATCGAATAGGGAAAGTTCTGGCTTTCGTGTGGACCTAGCCTAAAGTTTACTTACCCCGCAACCTTTTCAGTTTATGATTTTCATCTCCGTGAATCAGAGTGATCCCTAAAGTGTAACTGCAGCACCGTGTTGCTGCAGTAGAAGACTTGGCGATGTGGCATCTGCCACCGTTGTCCATGTGGATTTGCAAATGACATTTGTATTTCTCTCATGTCCCTCAAGAGCTCTGATTACATGGTCCAGCTCCTCATTACCAGCTCCTTGTTGTAAATCATTGAGTTTGGAGAACACCCTGCAATCGAAACCCGAGATTAGGTCAGATCACACGCTGTGGCTGAAGTTCTCTCGTATCATAACTTAATTGCCGGCCTGCCCACACTTCCTGCTCTGAATAGATAATAGTATGCTAATAGTGTGTATGTCGTGCCCAGGTTTGGCCCCTTCAGACCCGGGAGGCATTGCAGTAGCACTTTCTGATGCGGTAGTAAGGGCAGTGTGTCAGGCCGGGTCAGGACACTGTGAGTCATGAGGTCCCTGGTGAGCGAAATCGTGAGACCTGAAAATGTCACTCTTGTTTTTTTTTTTTAAGACCAGGTTCATGCTGGTCCAAGGCAATCTGATTAGTTCTGGTTAAAACTGGTTTTGTTCTTGTCTAGGTGGTGAACATATCATATATAAAATGTAATTTCAGTAAAATCCATGATTACATTGACACAGAAACATACATTATCGACAGCATCTAAACCACATACACAGGAATGTTATACACATGCACAATATTAGAGATGTGCAAATGTTTATGAATCCATGAATGCATTGAATTAATAGACAGATTTGAATGTATTTAGCCTAATATGTTTTAAATTCAATATTTTCAGTGCTACTGCATTAGCAGTTTCATTCTGATCTGTGTGATATCTGTTGCTGTATTCTCATTTTGAAACTCATTTTTATCAGTTTACACAAGCCTAAACTTGTGAGAAGGGTATAACTGCAGCCTAGAGATCTCCAAATGGGGACGGGAGCTCCAAAATAGGGCGTGGCTTCCTCCCATTGACAGACAGGCACATGACGCGCATGGCAATTTTTCCCCCAATCAACTTCAGTGCAAACTCCGCCCCACAGCTGATTCTAAAGTTTTTATTGGTTGTCAATTAAAGTGTTGATTTCCTACACTATGCTACAAAAAATGCTAACCCCTAAACCTACCCCACACCTGACCCTAACCTTAACCAGTGAAAGTGACTGCACGGCGGGGTTGGCGCTGAATAGCGTGGTAAAGAATGTTGCAGTTCATAAGATTATGCAATATGAGACTGTTCCATAACTCCCCAACCCGGACCTCACTGGAAAATGGCACCTTTTTAGTTACACCCAGCATCACTACCCCCTCCTACCCTGCGAATTTCGTGCCCCGGGATGCCCCCGTTGCTTGGAAGTTGGAACAAAGCGATAGAGTAAAATCTTTCCCCTGCACTGGGACGGCTCGCGGGAGAGCTCGTGGGTGATTCCTGTTTATATCATGAAGCAGAGGTTCAAACTCCGGTCCGAACACCACTGCCCACGAGGTTTGGGCTCTGCTCTCACCGAGAATATTTATTTATATAGCATATTTTATTTTAGATCAACTAGAAACAATTTACATATTTTGAAATGTAAGTCAATAACAATTGGCCGAAGCCAGAGCCAATGGTGAAAGTCTTTGTGCGATGGGACCCCGCCCCATTTTGGAGGTTCTGCCCACTTTTAGAGTTCACACCTGCTTTTGGAGATCTCCGGTCTGCAGTTATACCTACTTGGAACTTGTTAAAAATCTGTCATCATTCAATCATTATTTAATCATTTCTGTTCTTTCATTGTTGAGAAGTAGTTAGGTTTATGATAAGGTACAGTAGGGTTGGATTGAAACTATCTACAATATTGTAAAATGCACATATATGAAGATATTTATAATATAAAGGATTAATATTTTTTTTACATTTCTGAAGCTGCACCTCAGTGTTATTCTATTACTTATATACTGTTATAGTATTTATTAATAATTTGAAGTAGCTTTTGTTTGTGTAATTTTTTTCCAAGTTTAATTTTGTGCTTTTGTCATTTTTAATGTTTTTTTTACTAAGCTTTATTTTTATTTAGTCATGTTAGTGCTTAAACTTAAACTTATTTCAGTTAGTTGACAAGACAACATTTCTAAAATTAAAAATATATTTTTTTATCTTTTTATATATATATATATATATATATATATATATATATATATATATATATATGTATGTATATGTGTGTGTGTATATA